CCCCAAAACCCCAAAACCCCAAAACCCCAATTAGCAGAGAAATAGTTGAAAATAGCTATTTTAAAGGCCAACTTTTCTCTTAAGATCCTCTCTTATGTTTGGAGAGTAGAAGTTTTCATTCTCATGGTATATTTTCTGAGCAGCCTCTAGGTTCTTCAATGCCATATGATAATAGATAGGAGCAATTAGATCATAGTTCCCGACGACAGAGACAAACTCTGAGGGATATCTGAACGGATCCTCATAATAATCTCCAGCAATAGCAATCTGCATGAAAAGAGAGATCAAATCAGGATTGGTAAGGTAATATAAGTCATTATTTCCGTCAATTAAATCTACGATATCATAGTTCAGCCTTGTGGTGTCATCTAAGAAGTGTTTGAGGAAGATATATTTAAGATCAACAGTGTACTCTTTCCAGTCTCTCCAATTAGAAGGAGTGTCCTTACCCTCATTTATTAAATATTCCTCAGCAAGGTTCATTGCCCTTTCACATTCTGGAGTTCCGAAGTTTACTCCTACTGGAGGGTTTCCAGTCCCTCTGATCCATTGGTTAAAATTAATACCTTCATAGATTCTGAGAGCTGTTTTATGATCAAAGACTCTGTATATAAAGTTTACAAATAAGTCTTCAAACTGCTTAGAATCAGCATGTTTAAATTTATAGGTGTCAAAGTATTCTGTCAAGAAATCCTTAAAAAGTGCTTCTCCAACTAATTCTTCCATCAGTGCAAGGAGCTCAAATCCTTTCTCGCTTTGGATGGGAGTTAGAATATGGTCAGGATCCTCCACTTTGGAAGGATTTGGAGTGAGCTTAGTGAGCTCGCTATCAGCCCCAACTTCAATGATCTTATCCTGCATGGAGATCATTCCTCTCATAGCTTTGTCCTTGTAGGCAGACTCTCCTCTGATAGATTTGATTGCTTTTCTTTCAAGAAATGTGGCCAAGGCCTCTTTCAGCCAAACTTCATTCCAATTATCAGGAGTCACAAGATTACCTGCCCAAGAGTGAGCTATTTCATGGATGGTATCATCAACTGAGGAGGCATCTCCTTGAATCTTAGTGTAAGAAGCAAAGCTTAGCAGGGGATTTTCCATCCCTCCAAAAGGAAAACTCGGTGGTTGGATTACTATTTTATAATCACCCCAAACATAGTTGGAGAGGTATTCTTCAAGAATTGTGAGAGCAGGTTCTAATATTGAAAGAGAAGACTGGGCTTCTCTCATAAGAGCTTTCTCTGTGATCACTTTTACCTTCTCTCCGAGCTCACTTTCTTGGAGGTCTCCAGCCACAATCCCGAAGAGGTAAGATGGGATCGGGATTTTGCTCTCAAATTTAGTTGACCTAAAATTGTTGTAATCAAATTCTTCAGTTAGGTTCCCTGTAGCTCTAACAATCATATTTTGAGGAGAAATAATTTGAGCTTTAAAGGTACTCTTAACCATCGGTGTGTCTTGGAACGGAGCAATTGACCTACAATGGATTGTCTCACAATGGGTGAAGAGATAGTCCATTTTCTTTCCGGAAGTTTGAGATTTATCTAGCCAACTTAGTCCTGTAGCTCCTGGATGAGTCTTATATTTCACTAATATCTCGAATTCATCCCCAGCGAATTGAAATGGTATTGCAATTCTGAGGGACTGCCCTATCTTTGGTTTAGTGTTAAAAACTCTGAAATCAGCAGGAACTTCGTTATAAAGGACTTCTGTGATATCTAGGTCCCTGATATCAAGCACAGCTTCTCTGACAAAATTTCCAAGGGATCTCATTTTTAACAATTGTTCTCCAACTATAACTTTATTATCAAAATCGAGTTCCATTCTGAGGTCGTAATGGTCAGTAGTTATTCGTGAATAATTAGAATAGGTATACTCATCGTCCATTTCAAAGTCAAGGATGTACTCGTAGACCAGATATCCACTGAATGCAAGTGTTAGAATGGCTGCGATCCAAGCAGTAGCTACTACCTGCTGTGACATTTTATTTTTTATAACTCCATTACTCTCATTTGTTGCCTTCCGAATAGGGGTTTTGGGGTTTTGGGGTTTTGGGGAGAT